TAACTTACGATCCATGCTACGTGGAATATTAATCCTAGCCTTGTATCGATTCCAACAATAACAGAATTATCGTTAATTGTTCGTGTCTAACATGACTGGTAACCATACAAAATTACTGGAAAAATGTTACTTCTTCTATAAATTAATTTTTATAATTTTTTTGGAAAGTAGACGAGTGGATGAATGCTTAGAAAAAGGAGTGACAAAAATGCCTTGAGGAAAAATACAGGTAAAAAGAAAAGTGGCGAAATAATTTTTAAGTTGACGGTGAAGCTGAGAAGCAGCATGACACTGTTAAAGCACATTTTCATCTTAAAGGAAAAAAAGTAGGCTACAAATTAGAATAAGCATCGTGAATGGCATTTTTACTATCACCATTCAAAGACGACAAAGTTAGTAGTTAATAAAAATTCTGTTCTACGACGGAAAATTTCTTTTTGTCCAAACCTCCATAAACTATAACAAATGAATTCAGTATGCACATATCCTGTTTTTATTTATACTATGTTTCGCTGACGTAGTTTAATCAGAGTGCGTGACGTACCCATACACACGCGTTTCAAATTATCATACCGTATCCCCCGGTTTACCTGTACACATTGCATCTATATTGAGTTCAAAACGTAAGTCATACATTCTAATTTCCTAGAAATTCTTTCAGCAAAAAATCAGAAACTAATCCTGAAAGAGCTTAATTTGCAGGCAAATTAAAACCTCGTCTTTGCTACAAGATTAATGATGATGGCGAATTTGTTCTTAATTAGAAGATCAGCAGTATCTTTCAATAACAGAAACGGCCCGCGTGCTTGTGTAACCAGGAGTCAGAAACTGATTGGCTGGACAGACCGTGGTCGCTTGGCAACCCTACAAATTAAACCGGCAAAAAGGCAAGCAGAGATGAGAAAACACATTTCTGCAGTTCTCTAATTTGTTGCTAGATAAAGATGTCTGTGTTCAAATTTTCTGAAAAGCCATAGCTTACGTTGGTTCCATAAACTTTAATTACTGAAAATGCATAACACTGTTTTACGAAAAACATCGGCACATCTTTCGCTAGGTATAAGTAGTGTGTCCCTTTAAGCGACTTGACTTAAGGAATTAGCCCACCATTCAGCTTAGTTTCAATCTCTTAGAGACATGGTTTTCAACAAAGAACATCATTAAGGTACATGTGACAAGGTGAGATTTTAGGTCCTGATTCTGTAGTCTGGCAGATACCGACCGACGTTTTAGAGGAGCCTTTGGCATCCCAGAAGACAGATATTTATATGTAACAAATGTTGGTGGGTTACCCAAACACGTAAACCTGTTCCTCTTAATGAACTTGTTTAAATTCCCTTAAAATTGTCACTAACGTCGGAACGTAAACAGAGAGACGCATTAAATAAACAGTTACTTATTATAAATATCAACAAACCCCATTAACTTTTGGAGAGGAACAGACATACCGATAATTTATAATATAGAATTTATATTTTTATTTCCCTTATTATTTATTCAAAGTGTTATCTTCTAAAGAAGGACTGTGTTTCATATAGTTATGCATACTAAAGATTTACAATTAGTAATTTCGATAAAATCAAACGTTTCTACAGATCGTATCTCACAGATTTTCTTCAGACTTTCCTATTATATACTTAATGCTATAATTTGCGTTCAATGGCATAAAGCTTGTTGCAATATTTCAGTGGTAGCGAAGATTACGATTGTTTACCGCGATACACATAAGCAATAATAAACATCTAGAACATCGTCACTACTTAATAAATTGTTTCTTGGCTTTCCGCAGACAATTAAATCGATGGACAGTACGTTTCAAACACACCTATTCGTATCCATCACCATTTTTTCAATTTTGTAATTTTGGATACGGAATCAACCCGTTTACTTTGGGCTAAAAACAGCATCTACAGTTGATACAGAATGTTTAGAAACGCGATGCTTCAACCCGCGAAAATTGATAGAGAAAGTAAAAAGCATGTTTTAACGCTGCGTTGTGCAAAGTAAATAAAGAATAAACTCCATTGGAAAGTATTTTCTCGTGTGGCAGAGGTGCCTGGGTAGGTGACCCGCTTCACAATATAGCACAGAAATTGCCGAAATAGACCCTGAATATGCCCAAGACACAATTATACCAGTACGCTTGAGAGGAAACTAAGAGAGAAGTTTAATGAAATTATAAAACAAGCAACAGTGGCAGAGATGGCGTGTATGTTGGTTTTTGGCCATCACCAAAACGCGAGTTTTAAAAGTTTCAAAGTCTCGTTTCGTTTAAAAGAGCATTACAGAAACTGCAAGTTGCTGACATGAACACACAGAAGTCGTTCGTACTAAAAGCACTTGAACCCCAACTTCAGGCACAAACAGAAATGGGGAAACGCAGATAATGGCTGAGAGAGTTCATAAAAACCTGCTGAATGGGCATCTAGAGAGTTCTTATACTTGCACCAGGCCAGGTTCAAATTGTAGCGCTAAATAACATTTTGGCTTTTACACACCTTTCCTTTGTCCCAACTTTCATACCTTGCCATCCCATGGCACAGCGACCCTGTTTATTATACGTTACCGCTTTACACATAAATGCGGTCTTTTCTCCAAAGCCACGCTATTTTTGCTATAAATTCATTATCTGCAGCAATGATCAGAAAGTATGCTAACTGAAGTAACCTAACCTACATTAATAATTTGTTAGGACGTACATGCAAATTGTAGCTGCTGTAGGAGTAAATATTCAGAGCCGATTTAACCCTTTCCACACTTAACGCAACATAACTCTCTTGAAATACTGCTCTTTCAGGCCTGAATATATTTGGCGCTGATAGGACATTGAAATAAGAGTCTTCCGTCTTCTATAAGAGTTAAAATTAATGAATTAATAAAATGTATCTTACCTATAAAATGTTTTATTTTTATTAAAACTAGCGTAGAAATATCGATTGGCGCCGAATATTTGTATATAGTCCCTGTAAATAATGTTTTGTCAAAATTGTACATTGATAATTGACTACGCCCTATATTGTATATAAAAAACAAGTCTCCGATAATCGAACAATTCCTGTTACCACGAATCCAAAGAACTGTTTGACGAAATACTTTTGAATCATGCTGATTCGCAATATACAGCGCATAAAGGCATTATTCCTTGGAAAAGGCTACATCTTTCCGCTCTGCATGGTTCTCTAGAAGGGTTTGTAACCCCTGGGAACTCTCGAGTATACAAGCCCCAGTGAATCACCTTCCCGTCACTGCATCTCAGAGGAGCGATCAGGTACGTGACTTATCGCACTTTAGCTCATCCTGACACGAAGCCGGGAAGAGCATGTCTGTCACATCAAGTCTGACAAAATCTACTTATCTGCACATAGCAACAGAATTCACTTATGTTAGGATGAGCTGGAAGGAAGCCAACTCCACATCACTTGTACAGTTATTTACTGTGCACTGGAAGCAACGCTGGCAACATCCACAAAAAAAAAATTCTGCGCTGTCAGATCTTTCGAGACAGGACACACAACACAGGTCTGTAACTATCAGACTCACGTGCGACTTTGTCACATTAGACGTTCCGATATTAGGCATGGTAGCTCAGTCGGTATAGTGACTGTCTACGGTAGGCTTGCCCAACATTTTTTGTTGTGCGGGCAACTTCGGTAAAATCCCGTCTGTATGCGGGTAACATGAAGTTCGGTACATAAAATGTGGAATGTATAAGTATACAAATGATTGTATATATATACTTTTATCTGCGTATTTTATACATGTTATATATAATAAAAAATATATACTGATAATAATGTATAAAATGCACTTTTTATCTGCCGGAGCTGATGTTCTAGTTATGACAGGTCCCAAGTCGTCATTTATCCGTCCAAGTAGGAGATTCATTCGGTTCCCCCAGCACAGGACATCCATCACACTCACGCTGTCTGTTGGCACGGGTTCAAACCTCATTTCACACATCCGCGCTTTCGGCTGCCCGATTCCATCCCTTAAGATTTCTCTAAATCCCAGCCAGTGTTACCTGACTGTAAGAGGCGGAATTCAACTCTAGATCAATGCTGGTGAAAAAAGCTCCATCTATAAGAGATCGTCCCTGCTAATAAGACAGTGCGTTTTTTCCCCAGAAGGTTCATAAAACGAACACTTAAAGGAGATGTCGTGTTCGCGTGTTCGTACGTTTCCGCTCCTAAACGATAAAACAGATTTCGACGTTCATATCATAATTTAACCGAGGAGCTCATTTATATCTGTTAGTGTTTTTTTTGACTAAACATTTCAGAGCCCCACATTCAACAACCTCAGAATATGGTAAGGCCCTCGTTTTTGAAGTTCCGGTGATAAGAAATTTAAATTTAACATTACGTTGTAGGCCTCAGCAACTCACAGATAACACCTATTTTAATAAATATCCAACATTTTATTTAAAGCTACGTAGATACCACAAATATTATTTCGGACGTGACGAAACCACATTGCTACTTTCAATTATTTGCAACGAAAGTATCATAAAATAAATGAACAAAGGCAACCCTTTATCAGTATAAATTCTTATGAACCATCTTCAGATCACGAAGTTAGACCAATAAATGATCTGATTCGACCTCAACATTTGATCGGTCCAGCAGTCTCCTTCCAACTGTCCTGTTCTATAGAAGTTATTTAGGGTGTCTAGCGTTTTTTCACAATCCGAATATGATATAACCAGTGTTGTCTGTGCTTTAGTACCTTAATTTTTGATTGGATCCATGCCAAAGTTCTTTTAAAATAGCCCTATGAAATCAATGTAGCTCTACTTTTTTCGTGTTTGTCAAGCCAATTTACCACGCTACTTTCGACATTGAACGTATGAAACATGACAAAGTTTCCGTTACTAATTTATCAGAAACAGGATTTTTTTTACGTATTATCATTTGACATGTTGTCAGGTCTTACACAAATACAGTATGTCATATGCAAGCAATAACACTGCTGTCTCGAATGCGTTCTGTTTCTTGTGTTACTTCGATTAGGAGAGGTGTAGGTATAGAGAACCAGTTCGACAGCACAGAATTAACACAGCATAAGAATGCTATCGTGCAAAATACAGTGCTTTACAATCTTAAACATCGTAATAATAGTTATGGCGCGAAATAATTCTAAAAACTATACTTTTCCAAAAGATTTCATTTTTGGTGCAGCGACATCAGCTTATCAGATTGAAGGAGCATGGAATGTTGATGGTAAGTGGATTGTTAACATATTGGACTAATATTTAATCCTGATTGTGGGCTTAAAATAAGCTAACATAATTTTTTTCCTACTCTACTCATAACTTTTAAGTTCCATTTCAATAGATGTGTTCACATAGTTGTGTTTAGTTTAATGACGTTCTCAGTAGCTGAGACCACAGATCGTCGAATGATTAATAAATTACTTGGAAAAGCTATGGAAGGCCTAATTTATGGTACTATCCCAGAATTTGCCTTGACGGACTGAGGACTCGAAGAATACCCCTCAGATAACCTATCTCCGGGATAAGATTTGAAGCCGTGACCTCCCAAAAATGTAACAGGAGTGTTAAACACTCAGCCGTGAAGTTCGTATAACAAAAAATACAACTATGTACGTAGAATAACCAGCTACTTGATCACCGACCCTTGCTATTCTGTGTATGAGGGACACACTTGAACATAGACGACATTTAAATTCGGTTTTGTGATTGTAATTTCTGAAAGTATTTTTTTTTAATTTTGCAGGAAAGGGTCAGAGTATATGGGACACATTTACGCACACACATCCTGACCGAATTTCTGATGGGTCGAATGGAGATGATGCTGCCAAATCATACTTCAAATATAAGGAAGACGTCAGAGCTTTAAAAGAAATGGGGGTAAAACAACAAATAATTAACCCGTACCACCAACTGTATCACCAGGCCTGTTCTAAAACCTCTATGTGCACTCTTTATTGCACTAAGGTTACCTAAATTATATTATTTTTGCATAGTTTTGTAAAAGGTTTTCCAAATGCTCATGTTGATCTTGTGTTGTGGGATAGCACAGAACAGACGTGGGTTGTACTGACAAAATTTTCCGAAATAACTACTGCTTCCATCTTCGATGTCTACATGGTTACTTCAATCAAAGCATGATCAAAAGTAGTGCCGAACTCCATGAAAGCCTGAAACCACGTACTTTTCTAAATTTAAGTTTCAAACATAAAACAAATACAGTGGACGTAGATTTATTGTGATTATTCTCTACAAAAAATAAATCTGGGTTTGGTAACATTCGTTTACCGTAACCACAGATTATTATAGAAGTGCAAAGTGCATCCTAATAATGGATTCGAAGAATGGGACCAATTATTCTAAAAGCGAACACCACGACACATTTTCACACAATGCTAATAAGCACTGTTCCGATATACAACGTGTCCCATGATAAACCGCTTAATATCTAAACGAAAATAATATGATTTCTATCTTTATATGCCAAGCCAATGGAGAAACTTACTTGGCTAAATGTCTACTTGACCAGTATTCGATTCCCAGTAGGGACACATTTCTCTCTCCGTCACAGCATCCAGATTGGATCTGCGGTTCACATAGGCTCTTATGTAGTGGGCAGAGAATGCTAGTTCTTTGAGGGCAAAGCGACCGATCGCGAAGCTAACCACTCACCTTCACTTCGTGCTTTGTTTTAAAATGTGTGGAATTGTACATCCTCTACCTAATAGGTCGTCATGACGCGCTATTCAACCAAGAGCATGAACGACTTTACATTAATTTCAATGTAAATAACGAGGGCATAATGCCAGAAGGGCGTATTAACAAAACAGCTTGCTTACAGGCGACCAAGTTCTTACACTTATTATTTTGACAGATGTTCATAATTAGTGTTCATACGCCAAAATGCAGTTGCATTACGCCCTTCTGGGATGGCATATATCCAATTATTTTATGTAGTCAGACAAATAATCTCCAATTATGCAAAATGGTGATACGCCCTACTGGAATAATGCCCTTGATATAATTTGTCAATAATATTTTCTCAGATGCAGTTCTACCGTTTCTCCATTTCTTGGTCTCGCATCATGCCTCAGGGACTTCCAAATAACATCAACCAAAAAGGCATCGACTATTACAATAGACTCATCGATGAAGTGATTAATAACGGCTTGAAGCCTGTGGTAAGAGTGGTAACAAAGTACACGACCAGATTTAATGTTTAATAACTCAGCATTTTGCCAGCACATTGCATTTGTAAATTTAATTTGGTTAAAAGTATATAAAGAGATTTCTTTTTGGCTGAATTAAATAACTTATCTTTGTAACGGAGATTCGTTGTATTTTTCTCGCGGTAAGAAATAAATTCTAAATATTATTTAAATTAAAATTCACTCGCATTAACGTTCAATAACGTTGTATTTTAACCAAATCTGCCTATTAACATTTATCTTATGGTTCATTATTTCAAAGTAAAATTAATATAATTTTCGAAAGGAAGGAAAATAGATTGGATATTACATTTAATAACGTATCGTACCTCCAGGTGACCATGTTCCACTGGGATCTTCCGCAATACCTACAAGACCTGGGAGGGTTTGCCAGTGACGTCATTATAATATATTTCGAAGCATATGCTGAGGTACTTTTTGAAAATTTTGGCGACAGAGTAAGTAATTTACTTCTAGAGAATAATTTTCCAGCAACCCTAAGTCTGAAATAAAAATTGTAATATTAGTAGCTACTCGCGTCTACAGCGAAACGCTGAAGCACGTGTAACTTTACACAGAAATGGAACATAAAAGCACTAAGATTATATCGCAGTGAAAGCACACAACTTAAGTGGCGGTAGCTTGTTATGCTTAATCGTAGTCATTTAAGCTGATGGTTTTAAGTATGGGGAACAATACGCCCCAAAAATAAAAATAAAGGGTTACATTGTACCTTATTTCAAAACGTCATTTCTGAACGTAATTTTACTCCAAAACAAAGGTAAATTAAGTGGCGTTTAGTTGTTTAATGCACACATATATTGAGGTAGTGCTGTGTTTCCATACCAAGTTCTTGAAAGAAGACCAACACGAAACATTCGAAAGCAATGAACATTCATCCTGCAAATCTTTATTGCCTACAGGAACAGTGGGCCCAATTTATAATGCATATTTACCTACAGCTTGGAAACTATATCAGTTTTACATTTAAAATTAGATTTATTCTCGACAGCGTTTATTTAATACGTTTCTAGGTACACATGTGGACCACAATTAACGAACCTTATAATCATGCATTTGGTTATGAAGTCATGACTTTAGCACCTGGTTTAAACACTACTGGAGTTGGTATATACTTGGCAGCACACAACATGATCAAGGCCCACGCAAGAGTTTATCATCTATATGACAAGCACTATCGCGCCAAACAGAAAGGTGAGCCTGACTTCCATAGTGTTAGCCTCTGTCTGCTAAAAACTTTTTCACAACGGAGCAGTAATGTCTCATTTAGGTAATAGCCGGCCTTTGATCTAATTCCTAATGCGTCGTAGTGCCTGGAGATATTATCTGGGAAAAGTCGTCGACTATCAAATCAGTCGCGTGTTCTTGGCAATGTTCCTTTCCCATATCCTTTCGTACTTACGGTTCGAGAGAGTCACTACAGTTATAAAGATGCAAACCTAAACTTCATTCTAGATATGCACGGAGCCCATGTAAACAAATGCAAGTCAAGAAGAGTGCGTATTTAGAAACGCAGATCACATCGTGCCGATGGTCCCGCGCATTCAATGACGCATAATTGCAATCCTACTGTTGAAACCCATTATTCGAACACCTTGTTACGCATCAATGGCCTGGAATCGCATTTGTGTTAAGAATGACCTAAGACGCAAAGACGACCTGGAACAACTTTACCGCGAGAATAACCTAGGATCACAGTGCAACGATGACTTACGTGATGCTGCGTAAAAAATACCTTTGGAATGCCAGCGTACTGCAAAGAATGCATATTTATAATCATGTTTAACCCCATAAAATCTCTCGTTCGACATTTTTTTCCACCGGAGATAGTTTAACACTCCCTGAAGACAGGAGCAAATCCAGCTTCCGAAATGTAGTGTTTTGTTTGTAGAACGTAGGACGATGGATAAAGTCCAAAAAACTATCGATACGAACTGCGGACATATTGATCTATTGTAAATTCACGAAATGTCTGACTTTGAAACCCAAAATTTATGTTTCATTTAAGATTAGGATACAATGCATATCCAACATATTACGACATAATTTCCAGTAAGTTCTATGAAGTTGTAACATGCCTGAAGAATGTATACTGTGCGTGATTAACAAAGAAATTTAAAAACAATAGGTATCTTCTCTCTTCCATTAACTTTACTAACATGTTTGATTGTAACTAACTTCGGAATGTCTTTGTAACAAACATTTAATTTCGGAGTAAGCCTATGTGTAAAACTTGAAGTTTAAAATTGTACTGATACAGTGTTAATTAATTGGGTGAAAATATAAATAGCACAGAGAAAACACTAAGTGCGTAAATTTAATGAGATCTACCAGTGTTAGTAGATACCAACATTTAAATTTCAGGCAAAATATCCCTCAATCTGTCCGTTCAATGGAGCGTGCCAGAACATAAGAACTCAACGGATGATAAAGAAGCCACCAAAGCAGAACTGGAGTTTACAGTAAGTTACTACTATCACATAACTGAGACAGTACCATTGCCGTTACCAACACTTTCAAATTATCTTTTCCAAAATAAGGGTACACAAATTACAAAACAATTTATCAGTGTACCCATCTCCCCTTTCAAAGTACATAGTCGTTTTCCGGTCAAGAAATTCCCCAATTTTATAATCTATGAAGGTTTACTACCACGTTACTATGGCCCTATTCCATGGCCTTGTTCCATCTTTAACTTAGTATAACCCTTCATAAAATATTAGCCATATTTTCGGTGTTAAAAATCAAATTTTGTTTCAAATCATCTGAAATGCATACAAATGCAAAAATGTTCTCGCTAACATTAACAAGACATACCTCCCTCCGGAGTACTGCTATAAACAATACAGAAGGTATGTTGTTACATATCCACTAGTTTTAGCAGCCCAATTTAATTGAACTGAGAATGAAGAAATCTGAAATTTGGTAAACTTCTATTGGACTACACGCCAGAAGACAATCATCATACTCGCCGCCGTGGAAACCTAAAATCTCACCAGTGCAGTTTATTAATATTACCTTATAATTACATTCATAAACCGCTTTGTTCCAGCTCGGGTGGTATGCCCATCCAATATACAGTAAAGAGGGTGATTACCCGCAAATAATGAAAGACAGAATCAGAAATCTCAGTCTGGCAGAAGGATTTCCTACCTCTCGCCTACCTTCCTTCACCTCGGAAGAGATCGTATACGTAAAAGGTAACTAAACAAAGCCAATTGAATTCCTCCGCGTTTCGTTTGTCTGGAACACTTGAAACGACTAGTGATAATAATAGTTGTTATACTGACGTGTTCCCACAGCAACTGTGTAATATTTGCGAAAATGTCTTTTAGGAACTGCCGATTACTTTGCCTTGAATCAGTACGGTTCATATCTGATTGCTAAAGGAGACACTGGAGCCAATCCTTCATATTTCAGGGATAAGGGTACATTAATTGAACCCGATAACTGGCCTAAATCTGAAACTTCAACGTGGGAATCGGTAAGAGTTCTGTGCGTTATTTCATTATTATACTCTGTGTTTGTAGGTACGTACTTCGAATATAGAGCATCTGAAAAGAGGCATTTGAGGCAAAAGTATTACACTGTCTAGCAAGCTTTCCTTCTTCCTAAGGGATAGTTAAAATAGTTTAATGCTTGCTTTCAACAAATATTTCGAAACAAATCGTAAATTTCTCAAAGCATATTGTAATATTAGCTATTATAGCTACCAAATACACTCATAATTTGTCGTATGTCTTCCAAATCAACTTTGTACAAACCGTAATTCCCTAAAAAGACGAACAATTCAGAGGATACAGTGAATATAATATTTTAAAATGTTCCTGTCTTTTAAGAGAGCGTAAGTCAGAAATAACAAATGTAAAGGAAACACTATTTGTTTAAAATGACTGCTGGAATGGAACGGAAACAAACTGCTTGATTAATGCGTCAATCAAAAGTTTACATCAATAAATTTCCAACATAAATAACAGAGAATGATTGGTATAAAAATAGGTTTCTATTTTTGGCTTGACGAAATACTGGCCAACAAAAATTCATTCAGCTGTGCAAAACCAGTTTAAGAAAAATGGCGAGGTGAACTGACCCAAAACTAAATTAAGTGTGCATTTACTGAACTGCAGTGAATGGAAGAGTGAAATGCAAGACTCCACATAAATAGGGCACATGTTTCAGGGTGTATTACAAAAATATATAAAATTCGACTACCAGAAACAAGTTCCTGTGCTATTCCATGGCTCGTTATTCAACACACTGGGAACCATCCTACTGTATCTGGTGAGATCCTTCCCCACTGAATGTAACAAACATTTTCTACTCCTATGTTCCATGTTGCAAATTCTTGTACCTGAAGTGACGATAGGTAATGGTACCTTATTTAAGAGTTGTATATTTGAGACGCTAATTATAGCCGTCTTAATAACATTATTTTTTGTTGGGCAAGGCCGTGGTCTAGGCAACCCGGGGTTTTCCTCCGTGGCATCCCAACAATTACTCCATTCACACACAGACGAAGGCAATGGCAAACCACTTCTGGATCATCTGCCAAGAACGTATATGAACAGGTCCCAGTCCGAGAAAAGGATGGAAGGATCCTGTTCATATGGACCTGTCGCCAGACAGAACACTACAAATAAAAAAAAATGCTTTGTTCTAGGTAACACCGAAGGGAATAAGAAATATAATAAAATGGATCAAGGAGCAATATGGCGAAGAATTGGAAATTTTAATAACAGAAAACGGGTTTGCTGATAATGGAGAATTAAATGATATAATAAGAATTAATTATCTGGCTGTAAGTGCACGACATATCTGTTTATGTTTAATTATAAACAGTACATTCGTACTTTAAACTATTAAATGCGCATATTTTCAATTTATTTGAAGGAACTTCAAGTTTATTCGCACGCACACAAATATACATTATCAGGGAGTCGTAATTATTATGATAATATAAGAATGACTCTCTGTCACCTCTGTAATTTTACAGAAAGGCACTGAAAATGCTCTTACAAATTAAATAGAGATCGACTAGCGAAAAATGTTATTTAATTCTCACATATGTGTCACCTGCTGAGAGACTGTGTAATATATTAGGAAGGGTTTGATAGGAAGCGACCCCAAAAACCAATTTCTTTATAAGATTAGAGGAAGGGAGAAAAATCTTTAGAAAAGTAAAGGCAGAATTTACAGTCTCCTGACCGAGAGTCGAACCGAATACCTTTCACAGCAGTTTCGCTTTTAAAATTTAAAGTTTAAAATTAGTGTATAATGAATACAACACTTCCGTCATGTTTTGAGTAAAATTTAGTTACAGGCTTTCCCCCGCTTCATTTGTTAGTATCACATGAAGGCAAAATATAAATCTTGAACACTTTGTGATCCCATAAAAATCTAATTCTTACCTTTACCCTAACAATTTCCGAATAAGCAAAGACGGCCAAAAAATCACACATGAAGGACACAGTAAGAGAAATAATCGAAATATCATAAAACTGAGGCCTGTGCCTTGATGATTAATCCCATTGACAATACGATAATAAAATTGAATACGTAATTTTTATTTGAAGATGATTGTCTTATATAATGTATAGTCGTATAGCCTTGTAGAAGTTTCAGAAGTGCTCCACCATATCTCTCACTGCTCTGATGATGGAGACGGCAAGCACTTCTGAAACGTCGGTATAAACGTCTACGTGGTGAAACATCCAAGAAATCAGTCATCTTCATACTCGCCACCGTGAGAACCTAAAATCTCATCTATTTTTTTTTATTTATTAGTGTTATCTACACCCAAGATGCTTCAACCTAAACAAACTGCTATAAGATTTAAATAAAATAATATTTCTTTTTCCAGACATACATGATCGAGGTACTGAAGGCGATACACTTTGACAAATGCAAAGTGATTGGCTATACAGTTTGGAGCCTTATTGATAACTTAGAATGGTCCAATGGCTACTCGTAAGTTTTTTCAGACATTTAAGTAAGAGGATTAAAGTAATATGTAAACTCAGAGGTGTAGGGAGGATACAGATATAGCTCCCCGCATTAACTTCGGCACTTAATGTAGGTGAATAGTCAGCTTCACGCCCCGCCCGATTTACCTCTGACGAAAGAAGCACGGTACCCACTAGACAGGAGGCTGGATGGATACGAAAGCCGGTCTGAACGAAGTGAAGGAGAGAAAACGTTTGCCCTGTTGGGATTCGAACTGCATCTTCCAGCAGTGGCAAGGGCAATTTCTAACACAAAAGGGAGCCGACTGTTTCACAGCCCAGTTCATCCAGTAGTTTTTAGCAATTAAAATATACAAGAATATTTATTGAATGTTAGATATGAAAGGAATCTTTCATGTTATTTTCCATCCAATTCACTTAGAGGAAGAAGGCAATTTTCAGCTTGGATATAAGGACGGTTGTGAATTAATTATGTTTTAAGGACAATTAACAAAATGTATTTCTCTGCGGAGGTAGAAGTACCATACAATATTATCAGATAAATTAAACTTTTAGAACATTAAACTATTCCCTTTGCATTCTTAAGAAACAGCAAAGAATAAGTATTAAATTTGGTTTAGTTGTTCATTAAACAGCGCATAAAACATGGAGAGGAAGATTAATTCGAAAACAAAACAGTAATTTGTGAATTTAATTCTCTTCTCAGGTCGAAATTCGGTTTGTACCACGTGGATTTTAACGATCCTGACAGAAAACGCACACCCAAACAGTCTGCTCACTTCATGAGAAACGTTACCGAAACGAGGCAGATACCTTACAATTACGGCATCATCGACAGAGAACTCGATGAAGAGGAAGGGTTGTAATACCGTAAAAGGCGTTGATAATGGATGTCACATTAATACTCTTTAAAATATTATAAAACACTGACGACCATAAATTCCTATTTACGTTCTATCACATTAGCTTTCTGTTTTACTCGATGCATTGGCTATTAGCCATAACACTAACAAGGTTTTAATTAAAATACACCTGAACTTTCACTTGTAGGCCTACGTTTTGAGTATTGGTCTCAGCCAATAACGTTATTGCACAGAATGTTCAGAAACAAACGTAACAGACTACAACCCAGAAGACAGAAATCTTCACCCAATTCATTAAAATTACTTAATAACATTCATTTTAAAAAATACTAAAATTAAAAAAATTGTACTTTGTATAAAGTGTAGGCATAAAGATTCTGTATTTGGGTAAAATTCTGAGACTAATATTTATGATGCACTGAAGTAAAGCCGTGTGTTTTACCAACTGTGCATGTCAGCTGTTTTTGTAGTTATTAGTTAATATTTTACTCCTTTCTATACTAACACTTTAAAAAGAACATCTTAGAGCATAAAATGTACCATTCCTCAACAAGGTAAATAATTTGCAAATCTAATAATTAATTATGTTGTTATAAAAATAATAATAAACAATTTTTGTCACGTATTTGTGTGTTTTATTTAAAGACGCTTTCAGTAACTCATGCTATAAGCGTTGGATGATACGTTGGTTAATAAGTAACGTATTGGGAATTATTTGGAAGAAAACGGTCGTGGTACAATTTAAGGTACTATCCCGGAATTTTTGTGGAGAGACTGGGAAAATCCAGAAAAATCTGAATCAAGATAGCCAGTCTTCGGCCAGAGGTTTGAATCGGGGAACTTCCAAATACGAAGCAGCAGTCCGTTGTATGTTTGATATTTGTCATGTTCATTACTCAGCGTCTAACATCACCTGGGGTGACCTTCAGTGAAGAAGGGAACACGTTTTCGTAGTATTCATGCAGCCTACTTTCCTCTACATGCTGCAACCCATCTGGTGAAGCTAGCAGTAACTACATACGTACAATGAAAACGCGTATAATTTACCCTAGTACAAGAAGTTAAATTTTATGGTTATAACTTCAAAGTTTCCAGATTCGTAAACTATTCCATACAGTATTTATAATCAACCGTGTATCGGTTAATACATGGCAGACCACAATGATTCAATAGTTACAGCCATTGTGCTTTGAACTGCAAAAGAAATTTCGTGTGGTCTTCATGCTGTTTTACATTCAACAACAACAACAACAACAAAATTCTCGAGTCACCACATCGCACTTGGTAAATGAAGTTGAAACTTTTCATAGAAACAACCACTTTAGAATGTATAACAAATCCGACAGCAGTTAAATCAACTTGTATCACTAGTTACTGATTTATCAAGCTAATAAAACACATGTAGAAGGCATAGGATATTATGGAATAACTAGCAGATTTTAACCTTAAAATAGCATCGTATAAGCTTACCCATTTCGTCGTGTTGTCGTCTTCTTACAACAGACATAACCTTTATTCCGCTGCACGTGTAAAAACAAAACCCTGAATTATATGAACCGAGCTGCAACACACACAGATCAAGTGTCCACTACTGCACGCTTGAAGCAGCTGCAAAACGTGCACAGGCCAGGGGGTAGAGAGGAGAGAGGGGCTGCGAGTTCAGAAGCTCGTCACTGACAAACTCACCATGCCTCATAGCTGGTGCATGCATTCGTCAAATTACGCTACTCGTTTGTAGTATATAATTCTCAGCTTATCAATTCACTTTTCTCAAATTAGTTACTCCATTTGAAAAGTGCAAACATTTTACTGCAATAAGCCAAGCTATTGTAAATGTCTTTCGTCATGCAGATCTCACGGATAAACCTAAGGTTTAAAATCAGAACGTAGTGAGTCTGTGTCTAGAAAATAAATAAATCAACAAAGTTAGCACTAGGTGGCTCTGAAATATGTTCACAATAAATTTTTCTCTCATAACCTGTCAGAAAGAAAAAAACAGAGCAACGCGATAATAATGCAGGCAGTAAGCTCCTCTGAAACGTCGGTTTATATCTGCCAGGCTACACGGCGCAACATTCAAGAAGACAGCCATCTTTGTACGCATTCTAAATCATTAAATTCTGCCAAGTGCACGTTCATGTTTTACAGTCTGGTAAAGTCTACAAAATTGAGAAGAAAATATGTTTTAGTCGGCCAAAAAAGGCTTACAGTAAGACCAAAACTTAAGACGGGTAGCAACAAAATATTTACCATAATTACTATCGAAATTTATGATATTCTTAACCACCCATTAAAAAGTTTAACCACCCCTCACACCCAGGGTTTTCATAGACTTTTTGAAACAGGTAAGGTCATTACAATGCTCGCATTAGTTGAACCGTGTCCTCCGCAAATTCAATCCAGTTTATATATATAAATTCAATTCCTTTGAGTTATATATCTTTAATAGTATCCTTCTACGCGTTTGTAAATCCATCACTTGTCTCTTTCCATTGGACGTTCTAACACAATTTTGAATTTTACTCCATACACTCTATACGGTTTGCTCATCGTTCTTAATCACCGTACCAGTTACGAATTATGTCGCAATGTTTAATGTCGTTGAACACTGAAAATATAACGTCATAGTAACAATATCTATGAACACCAAATGAGATTCGTGGCACATAAAATGCTCTGTAACTGAAATTACAACGACACTTTTAACACCGCGAAAATTAATCATTTGTAACTACTTCGTGAAAACTACATCCAACGACTGAAACCTTAAACTTAATCTATTTTATAACGTGCACGTTAAACGAGATCGTGATGCTTCGTATACGAAGAACCACACACGTCAGAGAATGACTTATGCCGGTGCATAAAAAATTTAAATTCGTAAGATTTCAGGGTCAATTTTTGGGATAGACTACCTCGCTAATAGTTCAGATGTGCTTAATTAGGCATCTCACCATGAATACTTGTAAGGGAGTACGTTAACCTCAGTACTAGATGAAGGCTAGTGACCAGGAAAACCCTCAGTCTGATTTACTCCCGGAGAAATAAATGTCAAAGATGCCAATTGAAAATGAGTGTGGATGTGTCACAGAAGCGATCTGGATGTGGTGGCGAAAAGAGAAACATCCTTGTCTGAAACAAAAACCCCAGCTGTCCAGCCCACATTCTAATCACAACATTAGCTGACCTAGTCCAAGTCCCATTTATGAACGCCATGGAATAAATAATACACATGTGTACATTAGACACAAAAAGCAGCCCTTTATCGTCGATATAAGTTTGGCTGTAAACGTTTTATAACATAGATGGTGGTATCCAAGGTTTCCCGCGAGAATGCGAAGACAATTGTGTATCACATCTTGGTGAAAACTCAAAACCTTTTACTCTGTGTCTTCTCAAAGACAGTGGTTGAATCTACAGCGATGGAGTCACTCAGTTACCAGAGACCCGTCTATGATCTTAGCAGAGTTGAAATTCAGTCTTTTTAAGTGGTAGATCCAACAAGAACAAACCCTTACTTCCAAATTTTGAAGAAAATTATGTATTACGACGACAATGATGGATAGAAAATGCCTTGGTCGATATTCGAGCCAAAAACCTTCGATTTAGTAACCAGGTACAGGCACATGTAAAGACTGTAATATCCGTTAGGTCGAAGGAGTTCCGTGTCACACGTGTTGTATGTAATATGTTACAGGTAATATAACAAGAACGTTTTAAAGAGTTTTGCATGATTCTTTGACAGCTGAGTCAGGCACAACAAATGCAACGTGAATATAAACAGCAGCGCAAAATCACACATCACGGATACCGGCCTATATATGGGCCGAACTTATAATGAGATTTCAGAGCTGCAACCAACTGGAGCAGAGGTTACATCGCAGCAGTTGCAGCTATGACGAAGTTAGTTTCGTTGGCAGCATTGCTGCTGGTAATGGTAACAATTACTGTGGGGGCAGAATTCAATTACATCTACCCTGAAGACAGTGAAATTGATAAAGAAGACGATCATTACCTGTATAATTTCACGTTGCCCAGCGATCTTAAGATCGGCGTAGGTTCAGCTGCATATCAGTATGAAGGAGCCTGGAACGAAGGAGGTAGGTGATCTGTTTTCAGTTTCGTGCTAACAATATGTAAGAAAATTTGACTTGAAATATGTAGCTTAAAGACTTAAAGAAATCTACATGTTAAAATCATAAATCCCAAAATTAATTTTGAAAAATATTACAAAACAAATTCTTTGTTAAACATTTTCAGTTACACAGCTGTAGAATAAGCCTCTACTTTTATGGATAGTGAAGGGTCATTATAATCTTAACTAAAACTTGGTTTATGGACTTATTCTGAGCCAGTTCATATCATCAACTCTAGTTACCTAAGATACATTTCAATACAATCCTTCCGTCTACATATAAAACCAGGTATGCCAAATAATTTCCTCCAATAGTATGAGTACCAAAACTCTATGTTGAAAGTTTTATATTTTACAAAAAAGCAATTACATTTTTAAAAGTTCCTTTCTCAGGGCAACGTCTGATAAAAGTAACAAATTACTTCTTATAGAATTATTTTCCGAGTAAAATTAAAACCCTTCATTAATACAATAATTACTAGAGAAACCCATAACGAAACAAAAATAATCGATGCTGTATTTTCTCAACAGTTGGCACAGGAATGCAAAATGTATCAGCGGTTAGTTATCAGAAACCAGTGGATCATAATTCATTGTATTATTTGTAGAAAATATCTTAAAATAATGTTTTATTTCAGGTAAAGGTGAAAGTATATGGGATAGATTCACCCATACACACCCTGGAGCCATTGCAGACAGAAAGAATGGAGACGTAGCTACAGATTTTTACCACAAATACAAGGATGATATTAAAAGAATTAAGGAGTTGGGGGTAAGACATCAATAACTATATCAGACAAGATACGGCCTGCTAGAACTTTGACATGATTTCTTTGGAAGATACAATATAAAATACTCTAGCCGTCGCAGATATTACCATTTTTCGACGTTGCCTGGGTCATGTCAATTTCCAGGCTTATTCGGAGGCCTCTCAGATAATTACAGCTATATTTGCAAGTTTAGAAGTTCTTAACCCAAGACTGCACCGACTATTTAAGCCTGTAAAATAATGTTAAAATTCTTAAAGGGTCTTGACGGAGAGGTGGAAACTTAAAGTCTAAAGTTTGTCTAACAAAAGAAATTAAGAACAAATACAAAATTCCACAGTAATTTTTACGTTAATAATGTTAAAATTCTTAAAGGGTCTTAACGGAGAGGTCGAAACTTAAAGTCTAAAGTTTGTTTAACAAAAAAAATTATGAACAAATATAAAATCCCACAGTAATTTTTACGTACTAGTCCTATACACTGTGTGTAATATACAGAGTAATTCAAAGCACTTGTATAATACTTAAGAAGGTTGTTGTAGAGAACATTTGGAGCAAAAATGTAAATATTTTTTTTTAGATTCACAGTTACCGAGAGACGACGTTTCTAATTTGAAATTGTCTTGTATTAGTGTGACCATTTGACGAGGGCTGCGAGCAAAGAATTCGAAAAAGTGCTGATACTTGAAGCTGTTATCACACTCAAACAGTATTATCGATCACAGGTCCAAACCACACGAAAAGAAAAGAACTCAAAAATAAATAAATTGAAATGACGATTGAACGATGATATAAAGGAAAGAATTTGCCTTCTATCTCTCCTTCTTTATTTCATAAGCTAGAACAACTTAGTTACTATGACTAGCAATAAATTCGACGATCGGAGTTCGATTCTCCAGCAGTGAGAGTAATTTTTCTCTTTTACATCACGCCCAACCCGGCTTCAGAACCCACTCTGCCTCGTGTAGCTGGACTTCGTCCTACGCGGTACAGCGCCCCCTGAGTGTGCAGCTGGTCAATTATTTTCATCCAGTACCTAAGTTTAGAACCCATTGCTCTATGCCTCCAGTCCCTACGCCTTTGCAGTGCCACGCCAAATCACAGGGACATTGTTTGTCGAAAAGTGTGATTACAGTAATTCTGGAGGTACTAGTAACACAGATTTGACCATGACAGGCGAAAAACTGTATAGGTGGAAGGTGTAAAATTTGTAACATGAGAGAGAAATATTAAATCAGTCGATTTCTACGCTTTAATAATATTTATGATGTAAGATTTCATCACAGAGACCTATTCTTCATTGAAATAAGAAATTTGTGTTTTTATTCCAGCTCGACACATTCCGCCTCTCCATTGCGTGGACTCGTATCATGCCATCTGGCACAATCAGCAGCCTGAATCAGCAGGGGATCGACTTCTATAACAACGTCATCAACGAGCTCATTAAATATGGCATCACACCCATGGTGAAGTTCTCGGAAATATTCTTAGATTTCATAAATATTAAACGGAAAAAATGAATAGAAAGTTACAAATTTTCGATGTAATGTAGACAACATTTAGCAGCATGAACAGATCCGCTCTTACAGACAATTTATTTGCGAACGAAATTAATGAAATAACCAGAAACACAATTTAATTTATTCAGTTTGCGACGCATTTGTTGTGTATAAGATTGACTGCTACCTTTAGTCCGTAAACAGCTAAAAGTTAATCACAAGCAACGTCCGACATAAGGGCTGTCGTAATAATTGAAATCTGTGCCTCATTGTAACAAGTCGTTTGATTCGCCAGTCCACATATTTATTTGTAATATATTTGGCGCCGAGTATCTTCATGTTACAACTAATAAGAAGTGTGAAGATGGCTGTGACTGATAATGGGGGAAGAATATGACAAAATGGGTGTGCTTCAGTTCATAGCATTACCATAATATGTGCCCAGAAAAATAAACAGGGTGTATTACATTTCTTTGTTGTAGGAATCAGACATGATTTTCCTTACAAAACTACTTTTGATTCTGTTGTTACAGGTTACCATGTATCACTGGGATTTACCACAATATTTGCAGGATCTGGGAGGTTGGACTAATGAACTCATTGTCGACTATTTCGAAGATTATGCTGATGTTCTATATTCATACTATGGAGACAGAGTAAGTTCTAGGGATTTAGGTTTCACAGCGGCGGGTCCGAAAATGGCTGTCTTCTGGGTTGAAGCCAGAAGTTTACCAACGTCCAGTTACAGATGTTACTCATCGCTCTGACGATGGAGGCGGCAATGTTCTCTGAAACGTCGGTAAACTTCTACCATACCACACGGCGCTATTACCAAGAAGACAGCCATCTACAATGTAAGTTGTTCATAAAATGATTTATCAGAACTGATTGTTTTATCTTCACTTTCAAATTACCAGTGTTAGGTTTCTTTTGAGAAAAACTTTGAACCAAATTACTAACATTTAGTAACGTGTAAGAAATGTTTCCATGTCTTAATGTGGCCTACTTTAAAAATGACTTTACTATAATATTATAAACTTTATCCAACGTGCCACGAAAATTTCACAATGGTTTGAACATATATGTTGTCTTTATTAACACAGCCTTCTTGTACTGTCACTAAAACCGAGACGTTTACACGTTTTTCTGATTCAAAAACTTCATAGAGAAAACAACTGTCGATCGGCATTGCGTAATTGAAAATTCGCGTCTTACTTTTAGCCAAGGACACGATCTTTAAAATCTAAGGGATGAGTGTCCAGACACTCTGTATATACACACGCACACTAAATAGTGCATTAGTCCTAGAAAGGTGACAATTGTAAATGGATCATCTAACCACAAATTAAACCTCATCAGTACAGTTTACCAGCATTCTTCACACCAGTTTTCCACTAAATTAAAATCACAGACTCTTGGATAAAGGTCAGATATACAGACGAAAATATTTTTTTTCTAGATTTTCATGTTATGTACAGTCGCAAATAATATATAAAATATAGAATTTTTCGCATTGTGCTTACAAGGGCAGAATGTTCTTTCCGGCGAGATTCCGAATCGAAAATATTTTAGATTTCGACATGAAACTCCTGTCTCTGTGGCCACAGGTCTGTCTTTCTTTTAGACACAGCATATACACTGAGCTGGTTAACTTAACACTCACACCCATGTTCGGGAGGTACCCGATTCGAAACTCCGCTAGAGACTATCTCCCTTACGTTTTATTAAAGTTTTCTCAATCCTTGACAAAGAACGCCCAGAAAGTACCTTTAATAAAGTACGTCGCTACAATTTCCTTCCATGCCTTCCGCATTATGTAATATATTACTTATACTACACAGCATAACCTATGATTTACACCTAGATAACCTAACACGTTTACAATAAGGTCGCAAAACAGGAAAATAGCCAAGGTCTTCCTATCTAGTCACAGTATTTCACTCAGGTCGTTTCATAAACACGGTGAAGGCAAACCGATAGAAATAGTAGAACTAAGGCCTTGGTAGCTCAAGGTAGTCTGTTTTTATTTTTATCAGGATGGACAATTATATGGAAATGGGTCAACTTGAATGTCACAGGTTTCAAGGACTTGAGTATGCCTACTAAGATGGACAATTATATGGAAATGGGTCAATTTGAATGTCACAAGTTTCAAGGACCTGAGTATGCCTACTAGCCTAGTTCTTATGACGGTAAACAGGGGAATGAGAAATAGCAAATTAAATTGGCAGCTGGGAAATATTTAATATTTGTCTATTATGATACTGTTATTACTGCTATTAAGTTAATATTCAATTTTTGCAGAAAAAGTTTATGTAATTTACGTTACCTTAACCTAATATAAATTAATTCTTTTCAGGTTTAGATTTCCACATATCATTTTAAATTCAGTTATTTTTAACACTTTCATATATTGTTCGGCATGCAGTATTTTTAAAGCCCCTTTTAATAAAAACTTGTCACCTATTCATCGCATTGATATTTATAATAGAAAACCCTGATTCACCGACTCCTTGTACCCAGAATATTGAAACAGCCTTCAAACGTTTCATAGGTTAAGTGGTGGATAACAATAAATGAGCCAACTAAAGCCGTGGAAGGTTACAACGGGAACGTGACTGGGTCAGGTTACGCACCGAACGTTTCCTTGCCAGGTGTGGGGTCGTACCTGGCAGGACACACGATGCTTAAGGCGCATGCACGGGCCTATCACTTATACAACAATAAGTATCGGGAGCATCAGAAGGGTAAGCAACAAACAAATGCTGCCAAGTAAACGAGGGTCGAACTTCGGCTTCCTGCTTCAAAGTTAGACAATCCTATTCCACACTTTTCTCACTTAATTTTATTTAGTTTCTATACTAAGTACTAGAATAGTAATTCGCTTCTATACCATTTCCCAACTCGGATTCATAATCTCGGTTTTTTATTTAAAATCATAAAAGCTCAGCAACTGAAAAAAAACTTAAATCTTAATAAAGATACAAACACAGTCAACCACATTATAAGTTATAATGTCAATGACCCCACATTCTGCACAATTAAATTTAGAGTAAAAGATGAAGAGGATTTATTAAAAATTAATATCAGTATTTTAAAACAATAAGTAACACAACAATACCAAGCAGATTGTTACTTCTCTAGTTGTAAAAACTACTCACACGTTAAAACTGAAAACATTTCATACATGTAGTGTTTCCATTGTAGGTCAGATCTCCATTTCACTGGAGACCTTCTGGTACGAACCACTCGACATTAATTCGAGAAGTGACCGTAATGCAGCGGAACAAATTCTGGAGTTCAACGTAAGTGCAGCTGAATTCTGTGCGAAGTCATATTTTTATAACTTAAGTCCTATGTTATACCTAAACAACGAATTACTTTGAGTTGCCGATGCCTTCCTCAGTGGTACATAGGCCCCTACAACTAACTTTCCCATACTCATTACATTTCAGCTAGGCTGGTTTGCAGATCCAATCTACAGCGAGAAGGGTGACTACCCGGATATTATGAAGAGAAAAATTGCTGAAAATAGCAAGAAGGAAGGGTATCGAAGATCCCGTTTGCCAGAATTTTCCGAGGAGGAGGTTAACTACATCAGAGGTAAGTGAACATTTAACATACTCATCCACAGTTAAGGTTACAGTGCTAAGCCATTAAAATGAACAATTTACTAGTTAAATAGCATAGGTTAATATCAAAATGGCAGATGAAATAAAATATAAAACAAAATAGATGTGAATTTAAGACAATTTTCTGAGTTTTCTTTCGTACGTTAAACAGACCGTGTATGTTATCAAGAATTAAATACATTCTTTATTTTTGTGGAAAAAGCGGATAAGAAAATTAAAAATACTGTTCCACTTTCTCTCCGACCTACAATTCAGAAAATAAAATTTACGTAATCATATAGCCTGTGTGCGTCTATATCTTCGTGTTACGAGCCTACTTATTTTCATGGCTCTATGGAAATGGCAGGTTAAATATCATGCTTTAAAAGAAAAAATCTTCTTGCATATACTTTTAGACACTCTGTAGCGAATATTATTGTAAAAGGTTCCAGAATATGACCTCTACCATTTGTTATCTCCGTCTGAGAGTTTAGCACCACACAACACTAACTGACACCCATAACAAACTTGCTCGGTTCTTCATATGCTAAACCTAAGAAAAACTCAGATTTCATTTCATAAATTATCTAGCATTCCTTCATTTCAACAGAGTAAAATATTTTACATATCCTATATAACTTTTAAATAGTTCGTATTCTTGTATTGTAGCACCCTGTTGTGATAATTTGAAATTATAATTCCGAAATTCCGTCATTTATCACCCACCTTTAACACTGTTTATTTAATTATTGCACTGATTAATTACTTCAAGATTTTACCTGAGTTACTTTTTGAATTACGTGTTTCATCTGACACGCAGTCACTATCAGTTTTATTCTATACTGAAAACCGTGAAGCATTTTAACTTCCGCATGTTTCAACATTAAACGAAAAGGCCCTAGGCCATGAGAGATGTATAAAAAAGAGATGCTGCATCTGATAATTTTGGCAGACTCTTCTAAATATTAAGATGCGAGTAGTTTAAATTACGCAGCTAAATAGCCTACGAATCGACAGATGACGCAGCAGTCAAAAAGGCAACCGTTAAGACGCAGAGAATAAACCAATTAAATTATGCTGCATTTTAGGCAGGTCAGTGCGAATATCTGCCCAACATTTATTAGCATTAAAATCCGTAACATATGTAATTGGTCACATATCTCACTACTTTAAAAAAATAAATTAATTGTATCAGTAAAGTACCTTGCCGTCCACAGGAACTGCAGACTTCTTCGGTCTGAACCAGTATACGACAAATCTGGCAACTTTCAGAGAAGAAGGTCCGACTCCTTCGTATAAAAGGGACACGGGTGTCACATTGTCCGCACCTTCCTATTGGCCAGTATCTGAAACGACCAAGTGGGAAAAGGTAAGTTTCTAGTTATGACTATCTATCGAGTCCTTGTGCCATAATTTCTAACGAAGACACCAGTTTGTTAGTATATACAAATACTTTAAGATGACTGTCTTATGGGATGTAGAATCGTGAGGTCTGGTAGATATTGGTCGATGTTTCAGTGGAGTTACCTGCCTCCATAATCATGGTAAAGACTAAACTACAAAGTGCTGCATCCCAGAAGACTGCCAACTTCAAGCGTGTTATTGCGGCTGTAGTGTAATTCTTTAAATGACACCTAAGTTGGTACTTCAAAAGCCTAATCGCACAACTCCTGAAAATAGCAAACAGCCAAAAAGGGTTAGTAAAATATCAGTACTAATGACATGAAGCAGAGTTCTGCTCAACTGGCCAAGAAATTACCTCACATTGTAAGAGACGCGAAGGTTCGTTACCGTGTTCTCAAAAGCTCGCATCAGGTTTCCATTCTGAGTGAGTTTAAACAGAGTCCACATAACTCATTACACATACAAAATATTAATCAGGAGTAAGGGCTAAAGAATATTTGTTGTCTACCACCGATTTGTACAAAAGTTAACAGGTTTCCAAAGGTAAAAGTCAGACCCAAATTCAGTAGCGTCTGCACAATAATTTTATACAAAAACTAATTTTATTTGTACGCTGGTTGTTTACGTTTCAGGTCGCACCTAAGGGTTTGCGCAAAGTGCTGAATTATATCAAAGATCACTATGGCGATAAATGGGACGTGGTCATCACCGAAAATGGATTCATGGATGATGGAGCAACTACGGATACGAGTCGTGTAATCTATTTAGCTGTAAGTGAAAACAGTTCTCATATTTTCGTGTACCTTCATCTGAAAAAAACTTAAATCTTAATAAAGATACAAACACAGTCAACCACATTATAAGTTATAATGTCAATGACCCCACATTCTGCACAATTAAATTTAGAGTAAAAGATGAAGAGGATTTATTAAAAATTAATATCAGTATTTTAAAACAATAAGTAACACAACAATACCAAGCAGATTGTTACTTCTCTAGTTGTAAAAACTACTCACACGTTAAAACTGAAAACATTTCATACATGTAGTGTTTCCATTGTAGGTCAGATCTCCATTTCACTGGAGACCTTCTGGTACGAACCACTCGACATTAATTCGAGAAGTGACCGTAATGCAGCGGAACAAATTCTGGAGTTCAACGTAAGTGCAGCTGAATTCTGTGCGAAGTCATATTTTTATAACTTAAGTCCTATGTTATACCTAAACAACGAATTACTTTGAGTTGCCGATGCCTTCCTCAGTGGTACATAGGCCCCTACAACTAACTTTCCCATACTCATTACATTTCAGCTAGGCTGGTTTGCAGATCCAATCTACAGCGAGAAGGGTGACTACCCGGATATTATGAAGAGAAAAATTGCTGAAAATAGCAAGAAGGAAGGGTATCGAAGATCCCGTTTGCCAGAATTTTCCGAGGAGGAGGTTAACTACATCAGAGGTAAGTGAACATTTAACATACTCATCCACAGTTAAGGTTACAGTGCTAAGCCATTAAAATGAACAATTTACTAGTTAAATAGCATAGGTTAATATCAAAATGGCAGATGAAATAAAATATAAAACAAAATAGATGTGAATTTAAGACAATTTTCTGAGTTTTCTTTCGTACGTTAAACAGACCGTGTATGTTATCAAGAATTAAATACATTCTTTATTTTTGTGGAAAAAGCGGATAAGAAAATTAAAAATACTGTTCCACTTTCTCTCCGACCTACAATTCAGAAAATAAAATTTACGTAATCATATAGCCTGTGTGCGTCTATATCTTCGTGTTACGAGCCTACTTATTTTCATGGCTCTATGGAAATGGCAGGTTAAATATCATGCTTTAAAAGAAAAAATCTTCTTGCATATACTTTTAGACACTCTGTAGCGAATATTATTGTAAAAGGTTCCAGAATATGACCTCTACCATTTGTTATCTCCGTCTGAGAGTTTAGCACCACACAACACTAACTGACACCCATAACAAACTTGCTCGGTTCTTCATATGCTAAACCTAAGAAAAACTCAGATTTCATTTCATAAATTATCTAGCATTCCTTCATTTCAACAGAGTAAAATATTTTACATATCCTATATAACTTTTAAATAGTTCGTATTCTTGTATTGTAGCACCCTGTTGTGATAATTTGAAATTATAATTCCGAAATTCCGTCATTTATCACCCACCTTTAACACTGTTTATTTAATTATTGCACTGATTAATTACTTCAAGATTTTACCTGAGTTACTTTTTGAATTACGTGTTTCATCTGACACGCAGTCACTATCAGTTTTATTCTATACTGAAAACCGTGAAGCATTTTAACTTCCGCATGTTTCAACATTAAACGAAAAGGCCCTAGGCCATGAGAGATGTATAAAAAAGAGATGCTGCATCTGATAATTTTGGCAGACTCTTCTAAATATTAAGATGCGAGTAGTTTAAATTACGCAGCTAAATAGCCTACGAATCGACAGATGACGCAGCAGTCAAAAAGGCAACCGTTAAGACGCAGAGAATAAACCAATTAAATTATGCTGCATTTTAGGCAGGTCAGTGCGAATATCTGCCCAACATTTATTAGCATTAAAATCCGTAACATATGTAATTGGTCACATATCTCACTACTTTAAAAAAATAAATTAATTGTATCAGTAAAGTACCTTGCCGTCCACAGGAACTGCAGACTTCTTCGGTCTGAACCAGTATACGACAAATCTGGCAACTTTCAGAGAAGAAGGTCCGACTCCTTCGTATAAAAGGGACACGGGTGTCACATTGTCCGCACCTTCCTATTGGCCAGTATCTGAAACGACCAAGTGGGAAAAGGTAAGTTTCTAGTTATGACTATCTATCGAGTCCTTGTGCCATAATTTCTAACGAAGACACCAGTTTGTTAGTATATACAAATACTTTAAGATGACTGTCTTATGGGATGTAGAATCGTGAGGTCTGGTAGATATTGGTCGATGTTTCAGTGGAGTTACCTGCCTCCATAATCATGGTAAAGACTAAACTACAAAGTGCTGCATCCCAGAAGACTGCCAACTTCAAGCGTGTTATTGCGGCTGTAGTGTAATTCTTTAAATGACACCTAAGTTGGTACTTCAAAAGCCTAATCGCACAACTCCTGAAAATAGCAAACAGCCAAAAAGGGTTAGTAAAATATCAGTACTAATGACATGAAGCAGAGTTCTGCTCAACTGGCCAAGAAATTACCTCACATTGTAAGAGACGCGAAGGTTCGTTACCGTGTTCTCAAAAGCTCGCATCAGGTTTCCATTCTGAGTGAGTTTAAACAGAGTCCACATAACTCATTACACATACAAAATATTAATCAGGAGTAAGGGCTAAAGAATATTTGTTGTCTACCACCGATTTGTACAAAAGTTAACAGGTTTCCAAAGGTAAAAGTCAGACCCAAATTCAGTAGCGTCTGCACAATAATTTTATACAAAAACTAATTTTATTTGTACGCTGGTTGTTTACGTTTCAGGTCGCACCTAAGGGTTTGCGCAAAGTGCTGAATTATATCAAAGATCACTATGGCGATAAATGGGACGTGGTCATCACCGAAAATGGATTCATGGATGATGGAGCAACTACGGATACGAGTCGTGTAATCTATTTAGCTGTAAGTGAAAACAGTTCTCATATTTTCGTGTACCTTCATCTGATCATGCAATATGGAGATTTTAGCTAAATTACTTTAAAGTACGCAAGTTTATATAATTTCTGTATTTTAAAAAATGTGACGAGAGTTCTCTTCTTCAGTGACGACTGAACGACAAAGAAAACATTGCTCCGCTACAAAGTTCTGAAATTATTATACATAGAAAAACGTATATGGATGGACAACAATACTTATTGTTTCTGTGCCAAACCTCTTTGCATATTAAAATAAGACATAGTCTTTTTAAAATGTATATATTATAATTAATATATATAAACTTCGTGGAAAGTATAATTGAGGAAATATTAACATTACGGTCATATGTGCGACATAAGTTGTTAGAACCTCTGTTCTGTTTGTAATTTTTTCATAGTTTTAACTTATTTAATTGTAGCCACGATAAATATTAATACACATGAGAATGTAAGCCCAAGCTCTGAAGTAAAGTTATCGCATGTTGCAGACTTACATGATGGAAATGTGGAAAGCAATTTACATTGATGGCGTAAAAGTTGTTGGCTATGTAATCTGGAGTCTACTGGATAACTTGGAGTGGACAAGCGGCTACATGTAAGTATGGACACAGTAATATGCGATATGACATTCATATGCTATATATGTAAACCTACAATTAATACCTTTCACGCTATTTAAATACGGACACGATACTAAAACTATCTAAATAATTCTACTATAGCCATAACAAACACAATTCCGTGTACTAACACGTGTTGTTTTTATAACAGATCCAGAGCAGGAATTTTCCACGTGGACTTCAGTGATCCGGATAAAATTAGAACCCCAAAAGAATCGGCCGAATTCGTGAAGACAATCACTAGCACAAGGCAAATACCCATAAAGTATGCTCGCTATGGAAAGGAATTGAATAAAATAGAATTTAAAGACCCTTCCTAATAGAAAACTGATTCAACTAATAACGAGAATGGGCACTGAAATATGATTTACTTAAATACCAGTTTCAATCTATTATAGATTACTATGCTTACATGAAGTAACATTAGGGATATTACTGCACACGGTACAATCCTGTACGTATTGCCAGAGCTCCTATTACAAATGAGCACACACAATGCATCTACATAATAACTTCACGTTTCCATTCTTCTGTATCGTTCAAATTAAATTGTCCAAATAAATTGTTTGCTTGTTATAACGTCTAATCATAAGCCTATGCCCTTTCCAATTCATTTACATTCATCGTCCTATCATTCAATGTTACATAGTCTGAGATATCGACAGCGTTGCCAACAAACAAATTAAATTAATCGCACCTTTCAATAGAATAAATGTATGTGTTTCCGACTGCGTTCATTCATCAATTTTAACGTAACTGTTACTTCCCAGCTCCCGGCTGGAACTAAATGACTCACCGCCAAGCGCTACAAGGTTTTCCCGATACGAGTCAAGCACAGTTCCCTAAAAACCATATAATCGATTTTACTTTTTTATAGCAGTCCTGCCGGGAGACGCGAAGTAACAGCAGCATTTATCTTTACGCATAGAAAATACTTTTTAATTTCTTACTTGTTCTCATAGGCATATGAGAATGTCACAATTATTACAAACGTCACACAAGATACGATGATGTTATATAAATTTGGGTCCAAATTTTCGAATAATTTGTACACTCCACTGACATAAATACCTTATTAAAATGTCTCTTTTATGCAAAACGTCCGTCCACTATATCTTTAAATTCTGGCAGTGTCTATAAAACATAAATAAATAATCCACTTAGCAAGTGATTATCCAGCTAGCTTAACTTCTATCGTGTTAATAGAATAATAAATAACCTGTCAGCTAACTTTGTACCTTTTGCCATATCCATTACGTTGTCTGTGATCTGTTATGAAAGATTTCAAAAGAAATATCTTCCCGCGTCATAAAAAGAAATTAGATAATACAGTAAGTAGACGTAAAATTACAATAGAAAATTTTGTTCCCCGAGATGTCTATCTTCTGAATTAATTCAGATAAACGGACTGTTAAATACACTCACATGAATAAATGACACGGAGTTATAGCTGTCAAAGTCTAGATGATGGTAACTATTAGTAACTACAGGCTAAATTATCGTGTCTGATACATAAATGTCAAAGGTAATTAACTTTAGCCGATGAACGCGCGCATGTAGGTGACAAGGAGTTAATATAACATCTACAACTTACACCACGATCATGTATCGTACCCTGCAGTTACTACGGTATGTTCTGGAACTAATTAAGTTTCAAGTCAGCTACTTACTAGCGCTAAAGGATTATACATAGCGTTCTCTTACGTCGATGGAAACATTTTCCCTTTCTAATTATGTATATAAGAAAATTGGAACGAAATTTGCCGCCACCGCTCATCAAATGAGGCGGATCTAACTGAACTGTTATAGCAGAATTATTTTATTTTAAATAAATTTTGGTAACGAATTATAAGAATCAAACACATCAGTTAAGAAAACACTATAACATTCTTAAATTACGACAAGGTGAAATCAAACAATTTTATACAGGTACCGAAAACCCGTAATACGATATTTCAAAACTACTGAAACAAATGTACTTAAAGCTGGCTATTGTCGGGATTTGCTGGTGCCTTCTTTCGAATACAACCACTTCACAAAGGAATTCACATTTGGAGAAGATAAGTTTCATTGCCGTGTTCACAGAAGTCAGAGAGCCAGAGCAAGATGTAACCAGTCTACCTCCCACACAGAAGATTTCTTCAAGAAACTAGAATTTAACGTTGTCCCCAACCCACTGGTAGGTGTCTAAAATTATTTCTTCCTTGAAGGGTTTCCGACTAAATCTTTTTAAAAGAAAAGTAAAAAAAGAACTAAGGAGAAAGAGAAGAAAAAGGGAAAAGAGTAAGCAAAGAGATTAATGATAAGAATAAATATAGGTAGACGATGAAAACAGTGAAAAATATGATGAACAACTGAAAAAGAAATACAAGCTAATCAACAGATTCAGAGTTTTAATGTGATGATGTCGCTAGTGGACTCTTGCAGTCTTAGGGTCTATATATATTAGAACGTAAAGATAACGACACGAGCCCTTGCCGATTTTTCAGAAAATATTATTCAACGTTTTTCAATAGAACTGTTTATATTGACTCCGAGCTAGTCCGTTCCACGTACGAGTCTCGCCCAACTTACGTCTCCAACGATATTTTTCCTAAACAGTTCCATTGAAAAACGTTGAATAATATTTTCTGAAAAATCGGCAAGGGCTCGTGTCGTTATCTTTACGTTCTAATATAAATAGACCCTAAATCTGCCCGCACGCTGTCGTCCGATGGCATTCGGTATTAAACTACGCTCGTACTTCACTTAATCCTTCTAACTCAGCAGCCAAACGTTCAGAAAATAACAAGTCTCCAGCGCAAACAGTTCTGGCAATTGTAACTCCGAACATTGTAATTGTACGGAGCAAGGTTCTTGCCGAAAGCAGCAGACTCATTATTTCCATGTTAGTCTTGCTTCGTTAACTTGCATTGATTAACAACAACGATCAGTAGCACTTGAACGGGCAAGATGGCTTCTCTGTCATCACATGGCATTTAGGGATTTCCAGTACTGAATTCCAAAGAGACTATCGTCTCAAGTGGTTCACAGTCAATCATGCGCAGACAGAAACATGGCTACAGACTGACAGACAAAACACAAACAGCCGCGTACTGGCTGCTCTCCTAGGACCAGTGGCACAATTCTTAATTTGGAGTATTTAACCTCATTGACCAAAGATATTTAAAACGTTTAGTTTTAGAAACTAAGCTAGAATTTGTCAGGGGGTACTGATAAGTACCATCAAAACCGTGGTTCTGTTATTTCCCTGTTGACATCAGAATCGATTTTCATCTTAATACAGTTCAATGTTATTTTGTTTCTGGAAAATTTGTTCGATGGAACGAAACTGACGTTCTGCGCAAATGCATTTACGTGTTTTTTTATTTATAATTAAAACACTTCCACAACCACTGATGAAGATTAGCTTTGTTTAACGGGCCCCCATTGAACAGGCGCATTCCTAAATGAAGACTGGGACAGAGCCAGTCTCAGAAAGACAACAAATATTCAGATTTTTAATTTAATTTGTGTATTTTTAAGTAAAGTCAACAGATAATGCCCTAAAAAGCTCGTGCTAAACTAAGAAGTTAGACGTCAAATCCTTGTATATAGGCCTAACGAGCTGTTGGAAAGTGGGCCCGAAGCGAGAACACTTTTCGAAGGGGTTGATGAGTTTTACGGAACTAGGAAGCTCGAGAGTTCCATAGCCAAGATTCGATAAGAGGTCACCTATGCAGAGATACCGCCTCTGTCTCTCTCTGTACATACGATACATCACTGTCAGCAGCTCTGACTCTCTCTCCCTCCCTAATGGGACGCCGTGTTTAAATAAATGTTCACTCGAGTTCGCTTTAGGAGACGCGCCACTTGTGATGGTTTCCTATTACATTTATACAGCTCCTAGCCCATCATAGACACATTCTGCAGTAACTCAATACTACGCAGGTTCGTAAAAATGATTTGTTGTGACATCTACATCTGTTTGACTCCTTTAAAAACTCCGAGCAGAACCCAACAACTTCTAACGTTCAGCAGTCAACAGATGATATTTTTAAATCTTTACGTTGCCTGATGGCTTAAAAACAGAATAGGAGGAAGTAAAACAAGTGAGATATCATATCCGTTAGTTAAATCCCCTGCCCAGATGGTTTTAAAGTTATCTTTCCCACCCAGGCGAAATTCTGGCTTAGGATTTTGTCGCAGTTGAGTAGCCGAGTTACAAAACCCATCAAATAACTGATTTCGGCTTTTATGTTAATTACCAATCCTTTCTCTGTCTCTGTTGGGTGAAAAAAGAGATTTCCTATATTGTATTTGGTTATGATGCCAGCTTGGAAACTGATTATTGCAGTTCAGATGGAAAGGGAAGTTCGTACTTCAGATAATTCATTACATTACAATGTGTACAAATTTACTTATTTGCGTTTTTGAATTCACCTCTTGCGCTGAGCCGAATGCAATATCTATCAATGCCTTACATCGGGAAGCTGCGTGCTTCGTCTCTCCTGAGATAAACTCTGCTTTAACACAGGAACGTGCAATGAAAGTGACGATCTGGACGGTTTATGATACTTTACTCTGTCTGTAACGAGTCTAAACTCATGCTTTCTCCACCCAACAAAGGAGGTAAAGTTGAATAAAGTCGAAGAAGGAAGACTAAGTGTGTGAATTTCTCAAAGTGTCTCTTTTCCCATATTTATATTTTTTATTGATTATTGTCTTTGTTCTTTCACTAGGCTGTTTCTTTGACTTATTTTTCTCTCCCCTTTCCTCCCCGTCTGTCTCGTTTTCCTTCTTCCCTTCTTCTGCGTCCCTTTCATTTTTCCTTCTTGTGTTATTCCCTTTGTTTATCAGTGACCTCATTACTTCCTTTCTTAGATTTTAATGCTTTCCTCCCCCACTTAACGGCGTACCTTGTGATCGAATTTTACTTAAAATATTTCGGAGTTCGACAAAAAGTATGAGGTACATGGAAACCACAAGAATTCTATCTTGTAACGAAGGAGTGAAAGAGTAACTGATGTATCTAGAAGGCCTCTTTGTTAACAAGACAAGTGACGTAGCAGGCAAACTCTCGTAATGAGATAGAGTATAATTATACTTGTTAATTAAGTCTACCGACGCTGACAATGGCTAAAGGAAGGAAAAGTTATAATGAGTTGTGTCATTGATTGGAGTGACAGCAAACAGCAGACTGTCTGCACAGTGGGACGGGGGCTATTCAGTTTCTGATAGTCACATACCAGCTATTACACCGCAGCTCTCCGATATGGTGAAGCATCGAATTCAATAACTTTACTACTCTGTGTAATTTCCTACAGATGACATTCTTTTCATGCACTTTGTATCCTTTACAACAAGCTGGGTATATCTGTTCACAGTTTTAGCATCTGCAGAGAATATGGTCCATGGCCTCGATGCTGTAACACCTACTTTGGAAGGTTCCTCGGGCAATTACAAAACAGTTAACTAAGTTTAAATTCTTCGAACCCTTTGTTTTCATATATCATTCCAACAACGTCAAATATTGCAGTATCTTAGTAAAATATAACTAAATAAATTATTATTTTACGACGT